GTGTGTGTGTGTGTGTTTGTGTAATGATATGTGTGTGTGTGTTATAATCTGTGTTTGAACTTGTGTGTTTGTGTTATGATCTGTGTTTGTGTGTGTGTGTGTGTGTTATGATCTGTAAGCGTGTGTGTTATGATTTCTGTGTGTGAGTAAAAATATCAGTATCCTCTTATCACAAGTACTCAACAACAATATTGCAACTATTTACATTGGCAATCAGACTAAAGTGGGTTTGTGTGTTTGTTTGCGCGTGTGTGTGCGCATCTGCAGGTGAACAGGTGAATAATCTGAGGATCTGCAGGGCAGAATACAGGAGCATCAGCAGGTTTGTGGAGCAGCTGCGTCCCACACGGCAGTGCATGAAGACCCTGCAGACGCACTTCACACAGTAAGAGCATCTGCGTTTTACACACACACACACACACACACACACACACACACACACACACACACACACACAACTTTTCAAAGAACTTGCTGTCTTGCTGGACTTTAAAGAGGGATTAATATTATGGCCTAATTAATTAATACCAGCCTTTAAGAAAGCATTCACTTTCACTGCTACTACAGCAAAATGAAGGTAATGATGACGCTCAAGTTTTAAATGCTGTGCAGAAACACAACTTTAGTACTGTATGTGCAACAATGCGCTGTGTTTACAAGACTGGAGTCTGTATTCTCCATGTTCAATCACTCACTCACTCTCTCAGGCTTTATCATGTCTTTGAGGTTTTGTTTTGGCAGATTGCTGGAGAAATGCTGTGAGCTGCACTTGTGTAACTTATCATGAGTGTGTGATTCTACTGTGATGCTATTTCTTTTACATGTTCGGGTTTTGCTTTTTCCAATATTTTGGTTTAAGATGTCTGCAATGTCTGATATATTTGCACCATCATAACACACAGATGAGGTGAAGACAATCCCTCCTGTAAAATGTACTGTAAATAATTCTTTAAATTCTTTCTGGTTTAACGGAGAGAAAACTTTTCCAACACATTTTAAACATGACCGTATTAATAACTGATTTATAATAATGCATGGATTTTGGTGACAGTGCATACTATTTCACTAGTTACTTTGCAAGACACTAGTATTCAGCTTAAAGTGACGTTTAGAGACCTAAATAGGTTAATTAGGTTAGGCTATTAAATGTATAAGACTGGTTTGTTCTGTAGATCAGTGTTTCGCAACCACGTTCCTGGAAGACTACCGGCTTTTCCCATGTCTCCTTCACTAACACACCTGATTCAGATTGTCTGCTCATTAGCAGAGACTGAAAGGCCTGGGGCCTCATGTACGAAGACTTGCGTGGAAATCTTACTAAAACATTGCGTACGCACAAAGCTGTAAATGTGCGTACGCAGAAAAAAATTCAGATGTATGAAACACTGCGTACGCCGAATCTCACGCATATTCTTTTGTACATCTGAATGAACGTGAAACTGAGCGCAACATGCACGAGCACAAAACCCCTCCCTGCCTCCTCCCCTGTATGAATATGCTAATGACTATGCTAATGGCAAAACCCAACGAAAAAGCAACGACAAAAGCAAGCAAAAAGAGAAACTTTGAACAGAATGTGAATTGGAGGTGCTGCTTTCGGAGGTAGACCGGAGAAAAGCGGTGTTATTTGCAAGTTTGTTCTCCGGAATTAACAACAAAAGAAAAAAATAGAGTGGGAGAGTTTAACAGATGCGGTTAACACAGTTGGGTCTGAACATCGCACTGAGTGCATTAAAGATAGAAATAGTGTGCTTTATATCTGTAAAATGTTGCGGAACCCTTACCAGACTCAGTGGCGCACCTTGTAAGACGCATGTGATCATGACTAGTTACGTTCGAGCATGAACTCGCCTCGAATCCAGCGTCTGATGAACTCTTTCTTGTTTTTTCCCCCGCAACATATCAGATTTTGCCCACTATTTATCACGAGAAAGACAAGTAGGAATCATCAATAAGTTCATATCAATAAGCATCATATTTTATTTGCACATTTATTGAATGGAAATGTTTCTGATTCACGCATGCAAATTCATCTTCAGAAAGTGTCTTTATAGCA